CCAACACACACACAAGAGCAGAATCGAAATAACACTCAATTGGATTAAACTGAATGTTAGTAGTGAAATTGAATGAAATAACAGTAGCAAGAAAAAAGAGACCCCAGAACAATTCCCACCAATTCGAGGAGCTAGAGACCTCCCACAACACTTATCTGAATCAACTTGATACCTCCTTTACCACACCCTAGATATTTATACCCAAATGCTTCCTATACTACCCTTACTCTAACAACTTTATTCTATCCAGCCACATGCATGCAGAATCCCGTAACAAACTGTAACAACCCTCATTCACACTCATTTCCCCTTAGTGTAACAACCCTCACTCACACTCATTTCCCCTTAGTGCTCCCTTTTTATGCCCCTTTGGCTTATAGACTATATTGACAGGAGGTCTATCATATCATAATACATTTGTTAATCTTTGATTTCAGTGCTGAAACATGATATTATTAATTTCCTTTTAGCATAATAAGAGATTTAGAACACTTCATGGAATACCGAGGTACTTCATAGTAACATTTAAAGAAATATTGTTTTGGATCAACCTGCAACAATCAAACAAATGTATTATCTTTTAAGTTAGATAATTGGAAACTTGTATAGCTTTTGAGAGTGGTTTTAAGGCATACTTGCTAACCTATTTAACCATTCATTTCTTCCAGATGTTTGATGCATATAGTAATCACGTCAACAAAGGTTTGGAAGTTCAATTGAACTTGGATGGATTTCGATTTGAAGACCAATTGGGCATAAATAAGGTCAAAATATTTCCTATTTTAGGATTGTATTTTTGACAGATAATTCATTCATCTCCTACGCATTGGTTCTTTAATGACTGCTAATACAGTATGGGAGTTCTAATTTTGCTAATACAGTATGTCCCAACTCCTGCTTCCCATTCACATTAGCGCATTTGGGATTGTATTATGGGTTGATTAAGTTCACAATGAGTCTGTAACTTGGCCAAGCGCTGGGCCATGAAATGTTAAAGTTTTAATGTTGTGCAATATAATGTAACAAAGACACCCTAAAGGCCCATATGAAAGTATGTATGTCTAAATTAGTAATGTTCAAAAGTTCAAAGAGTTAATCAAATTCTTGTTCCCTTATACGACAATATGATGTGCATCAGCTTGTTCTTATTGTTTATTTGACATCTTATCCATGATAAGCTAATACTATGACTGTGCTTTGAGGTTCTATTGCATTTGGAGTTTACCATTTTTGTCTGTTGCATGATCTGAATGTCCTGAAAAAGTTTGTAAACATAGGTGGACAGTTATGGATGTGTTGACCTTATTGGCCTCTTGAAAGTAACGGCTGGTTATGGAAAAAGTGGTATGTGTCTTTATCTAACTGCATTTTTTTTTTGTTTTGGATGTTTACTTGCAAGGACGAAAAGGAAAATGATATTCTTTTTTTTTTTTTTACTAAAGCCTAATATTAGTCCAGTGAAACAGTAACATAGTAAAAGCTTACTGTTATCTAGTACTGGTTATCTCATATTTTAGTTGTGTACTGTAATTTCAAGGATGCAAACATTGGTTGATGGAAAATTCTTAGTCACTCATTACTTTGTAGCTTTTGGTTTTATTTGTCTAGCTAGAAAGGAAAAACATGTGACTTTTTAATTTAACCATCTCTAGGAACAATCTTTAGATTTTGCTTCTTGTGGATAATTTGATTGATCATGAAAAGTTAAATATTACAATCGTTAATTGTATCAAAAGAAATTTTTTTAGAATGTTGAGAACATAATCATGAACAGTTAAATGTTACATTCGTTAATTGTATCCAAGGAAAATTTTTAGAATGCTAAGAACATAATCATGAACAGTTAAATGTTACAATCGCTAATTGTATCAATGGATTTAGGTTTGTCTAGAGATTATATTCTAACATTTCTTGCCTTGCAGTATCAATTTCTATTTTATTTGATAATGAAATCATTTTCAATCAAGAGTTTCGAACTCAGAATAGGGAACTGAGACTTGTATCTGGGGTTAGTGTGCTTTACTTTTGTCATCCCTTTGCTTAATTATTGGAAGTTTAAATGTCATTTTTACTAATAGTGTATAGAATTACGAGCCTGAATGTGTTACCCTCTTGGTTCTCAACTTGAAAATATAGTTTTTAAGGTTGGTGATTGCAATGGTGATGTTGATGGAAGTATCCATGATAATGAGAAAGGTGGTCAATCCCATACACTCACAATGAGGTAAAAATCTATTGGCACAGAAGATTCAGTTTGGTATGTGATAGGAACCCACTCCAATAACTCAACAATGTGGGCTGGGCCATGGGTCTTTCATGGCCTTGGGTAGAACTCTCCTTGGAAAACCGGCTTGCTAAGGGAGGGTGCCCAAGCCTTTATAACCCTCATGCCCACCCTTTTCCCTTTCAATGTGGGATCCTAACATTTCACCATGCTTCCGCAACCGACGTCCACTTTGGCCTCTTTACCCTCGTCGGCCTCTTTACCCCTTGGGTGACTACGTGGATCCCCTTTCCCTTGGGCCTCCATGCCCTTTCTTGGGGTAGCAGCCCGGGCCCAAGGTCAGCCTGCCAAGAGTCAGCCTGCCACGCGTGCGCTGCCACATAGGCGCAAGATCATGCTCTGATACCAATTGATAGGAACCCACTCCAATAACTCAACAATGTGGGATGGGTCATGGGTCTTTCATGGGCTTGGGTAGAACTCTCCTTGGAAAACCGGCTTGCCAAGGGAGGGTGCCCAAGCCTTTATAACCCACATGCCCACTCTTTTCCCTTTCAATGTGAGATCCTAATAGTATGCTTTCAAGCATGGGCACTGCACTGTTCCTGTTGTTCCCCTTTGTGAGTGTAAGGGATGCTTTTGCTTTGTGGTTGTGCATTCTCGTTACACAGAGCTGCATCTAAGCATCAAGGTTGCAACAAATTTTATGTTAGTGATTAAATACTATATAGTTTTATCTATTTATGAATGGGTTAGAAAATAAGAGTCCTGAAATCTACCAAAAATACTTAGCAAACTTCTCTAATTGAATGACTGTTGTGTACACTGTTGGGTGTCTATATCTTAAGAGCTTAGATTTAGTATTAACACTTTATGATGATCATTTTTCAGTGACGAATGCTACATTGTTAACTATTGGTTTGCATGTGCAGATTCCTCTTTTGCAAAGTCCAAAAATGGAGTCCAGTGAGATACCCTCATATTCTGATGGAAAGTTACAACTTCTCGAGGGCTCAACTCCCCTCAAACATGTGGGAAACCTTGCGGTATCTATCATAAAGACTGAGAAGGTATTGTGTCAAATTCCATCTCCACATTATTTCTAAGATGTAAATGCATTTTTTATGCTAGAATAGATGCTTTATTGTCTTTGATTTATATGTTCCATGTAGAGATTCTTTTCACTTGTTCTTTTGAGTGTTTGTTGTGGCTACTTGTTATTGGATATATAGCGATAGTGGTTCGACGTTCCACCACAGTTGTAGTGGATGATTAAATTAAAACTATGCATCTTTTAGTTGAAGTCCCCAACATATTTACAGTACTGGCAATTCCATAACTTTTTTACGGAAGTACAATTCTGAATTTTAAAATTATAATCCCAATTTTAGATATATTAACTGATATAATTACTAATATAGTAATATTATTTTGATAATTAAAAATAATATAATTATTGATCATTTATTTAATAATTAATTTCGTATTACCACTTGAGATAATCTCAAGTGTAGAATTATCTACTTGCCAAAAGAATTTATTTGAACTCATAAACACTTTTAATTTTTTTTAGGTTATTCACTCATTAGAATGCATTCTAAAAGTACTTATAAGATTTAAAATAAGCTATTTTACTGCTTATAGATTTGAGCTTATTTAAAATGTTAAAATTTCAAAAATATCTTATTAGACTTTTATTTATTCTGGTAGTTAGAGTCTTTTTTGGTAAATTAATACAATAAATCTTTTTTCTATTTTCCTAACCAAACAATTAAGAACTTTTTCATAAATGCTATATTTTCATAAACTGTACTCTAATAAACTACTTTTCTATAAGTTCTATACGAATAAGTCATATCAAACCAACCCTTTATTAGGCTTTTATTACAATCTTACTTCATTAGTGAAGTTGAATTGATGTTTGGGTTAGCTGGTAATGGTGGGTTAAGAAAACCCAATTAGTGAGTGTTTTGAAAACCAGATTGGACCTTTTGGATGGATCGGTCCGATTGGTGACCCGTGCCTTCTTTGGTTCAGGTTACCATTTTTAACTATTCACAAAATCCCTAATCTAATTGCCAGCGAACAAAGGGCTACCAAGTGTCGGGGTTAGAAGGGTCTTGTAGAGTGGAGGTTAGTGGTTCAAGGGTTAGTGTCAGATTGAATTTTGGACACTAGAGTCTGCCAGAATTTGGCCAAAAAAATCAACCAATACGCTAGTCACGATCGGCGAATTGGTGGCTATCAAGTGCTGAGGTTAGATGAGTTTTGTAGAGTGGAAACTAGTGGTGGTGTTGGGTTTAATTTTGGACTTAGAAATCAGCCAAAATTTGGTTGGAAAAATCAACCCAATCATGACAGTGTTAGAGAGTCACGTCGGGGAACAAGGGCCAACGAAGTTCCAGAGTTTGAGGAGTTTTGTAGAGTGGAGGACGGTGGTTTAGGTGGTGGCCTCGAATTAAATTTTGGCTATCAGAACCAATCGTAATTTGGTTGGAAAAATCAATTTAGGGTCAGATCGTAGGATTTATTTGCTAGATTTCAAATCTATAGAAACCATTGCGTATTTTTTAGGGGTGTATTTACCAGGATTCAAACTTGGTGGATCAGTGGGACTACCAGTTTAACCGGTCAGACCTAGCAACTCGAGACCCAGCCCTTGGCCAGGTGACACTCGAAGTCAGGTTTCAGAACCTTGCTTAAACTATCTAGATGCGGTCTAAAGTTAAGTTGCTAAAAAGCTTAAAATTGGGCATGTTTGGCTCCATAACCAAAACTGTGGTGAATTAAGTTGAATGTTCCCATTTCCAAATTTAAGCAAACCGCCAACGCCACGACAATCTCATTTTATCACCACGCCTTATATTTATATTATGCTTATCACAATAACAACTTAACTTCTCTCAGCTTCCACCAACGAATTCAGATTCTTTCACTAACAAAGAAATGAGCGTCACCTTGTGTGGAAGTGCTTCTGCAAGTGCTTTAATGGCGTTTCATGGGAGTGAATTGATGGGTAAGGCCACCAAAATTCATGTTAAAACAACCCCTAGGAAGGGATAAAATCCTTTGCAAGTTTGTTTGTAATTTTAAATGGTTAATTTTGATTTGTTAAATTGAATTATGAAGTTCTAAACTTGGCCTAATTTTTACAGGTAGCTTGTGTGGACTATCCGAAACCGGATATTGATAATACGGCTAATTTCTTGGAAGCTGCTTACTTATCTTCTTCCTTTCATGCTTCTCCTCGTCCAACCAAGCCTTTGAAAGTTGTAATTGCTAGTGCAGGTGGCGTGTTTTCTCTTTTTATCTCACTCAGTTTTAGAATCCTCATGCTTTACTTTTGGAAATTTAACAAAATTATGAATAAAAACGTATTTTCTAAGTCAATGAAATTAAAGCAAAGATTATATCGAAAATCAGAGCTAGTAAGTTATCAAAACAAATAATTTCATTTTAGATATTTTGTACTTTTTAAGATTCTAATGGATTTATTTTCCCCAGCTAACTGTTAGTAGAATTTAGTTGGTCTTCAGAGTTAACTACAAATCTTAAACTCCATTTCACTACTTGTAAACTCTATATGGCTTGGCATTGTTTTTCTCGTTTCTAGGCTAACGGAAGCATTTGTCTGAATGGCATAAGTTATGGGGTTTTCCCAAACCGTAGATGATGCTGAATAGAAATGAGGGAGTGTGTTTATGGTTGTGCTGACTATTTTTTTTTTTTATGAAAATGTACTCATAATTTAGTGTAAGCATGTCAAGGGAGTTAGGTTCCTTAATTTTTGTGAATCTTGGTCTCCGTTTTCCTTTGGTCAATCTCTTTCAAAAGATGCACCCAGAAATATCAGCTTGAAGGGAAAATCCTGTTATCTATTATAGTGTTTCCTCTACGGGAAGAAGTTAAAGACCAAAAATACTGTTGATGAAATAGGCCAACCCTGTTAAGATAGTTTTAATAACTTAGAATAATGACAAAACACCCGATTTCAAATAGGATATGAACTTATGCGCATTATCACGTTGAAGTTTTGACTTATGAATTAAACCATTCTGTGAAAAGTTCCTTGGTGACTTGTGTTGACTCCACAAATGTCAGAAATTAGAATAATGACATAAAGTACGTTGGTTAACTTGAGAGAACACTCAAATTAGAGTGAGCTGGCCACCTTAAAGATAATGTTTCTTCCACCTAGTCAATTTGTTCTCATGGGTTTGGATAATTGAATGCAGCACTGACATTATATTCAAAGTAGAACCAAAAGGCAGGTCTAAATTAATGAAAGAGCACCGGCTCTGCATACCCATTGTATTTCCTAGAATTAGCAAAACTAAAGTTCCCTATTGGAACCAACTCATCTTAGTCAAACTGTCTTCTGAACAAGATTGCTTCAAGACAGAATATTCACTTTGGTATCTTCTCTGTGGGGCCCATCTCCTCAACAGATAAATTAAAACCCCTGTGGTCACCATTGTAATTTTTTTTTTTCAAATATGTACTATGGGAACTACTTAATCCTTGAATCTGTTAGCAAAGGTTCTCAAATTTGCTTGTGGACAGTGCAATTTGAGCATCCAAGACAATCTTCTGACATAATCCTCTGTTATTCTTGTGACACTTTAGCCAAAAGCTTTTACACTACTTAAACTAAAATAAACTTTCCATCTTTCCCATTTCTCTTTTAAAAAGTTTTTCTTATTTATGTTATATTGAAACTTCTAATTCTCAAAATTATCGCAGGTTTTGCTGGTTTATCAACTGCAAAATATCTGGCAGATGCGGGTCACCAACCTTTGTTACCAGAAGCAAGAGATGTTCTAGGTGGAAAGGTTTTTGTGTTGTTTTATCTTTACCACTTTCCAATTAGTTGACGCCAAACTAAAGATATATATGTATACTTTTCTGTTGATTTCTTAGTCTTTTGTTAACTTCTAGAAACTTACAAAAGCTTGCTAGTTAGTGATTAGAAGAGAGGTCTTTTTTCAGCATCATTGAAAAATAGGTGATTTCTATATGGATGACAATCTAGAAGAAGTTTTTCATTCTGGTTGATATTGTGGCATTAGTACTTTTCTGTTTATAGGAGCAAGGATGGACACAATTGCATGATAATTTTTGTTTCCTTCTTGATATCCATATGTAATGCAGGGTTTTATCTTTTCAATTTCTTTGTCACTCAACATTAAACTTTGGTCTTTTTCCTTATAGGTAGCTGCCTGTAAAGATGATGATGGGGACTGGTATGAGACAGGCCTGCATATATTTTATGAGTTGATATATTTTCTTTTATATTACTTTTAATTATTATTTTTTTGTATTATCATTTTAGTTCGTGATGCTACAACATTATTTTCTATTAACCATCATTCCTAAGTTCTACTGCATTTTTTACTCGGATAAATTATGCAAGTTTAGAAACTAATTCTTGTTTGCTGATGTCTTTGATGTTTGACTCAACAACTTCATTATTGTCTTCTAGTGATTGTTCTTTTGATGTTATGAATGTCTTAATAAGTTCTGATGCACTTTCACTTCATAGTGATGATCTAGTGGGTATCTTTTACCTTATGCAGTTTTTTGAATTTTGCAATAACAAACTTTGATGAAGTCACCTTTTTGTCTTTTCCTTTCATAAAGTAGGGCTAATCTTATGCATTTCCTTTTAATTGATAAATATTTTCTTTTCTTGCTGGCAAGTTTGGGCTTGCCCAAATATACAGAACTTGTTCGGAGAACTTGGTATCAATGACCAATTGCAGTGGAAGGAGCACTCAATGATATTGGCAATACCGAACAAGCCAGGAGAATTCATCCGATTTGATTTTCCTGAAGTCCTGCCAGCTCCTGTAAATCGTTAGATACTTGTACCTACCACTAAAGAAAAAAAGGAAACCCCTCGACCATTTTTATATGTTCAGCTTTTTTAAAAAAAAAGTATGTGCTCTTTACATAGATCTGGAAATGCATGTTGAAGAACCAAGGTTGGAAACAAAGAGTAAATTGGCTTGTTGGTTTATGTAGTTTTTACCTGATAAATATTTGAACACAAGTTTAATTCTTCCTACCATGTCTATGACGTAGTGGCCCGTAATCAATATATGTATTATAAGAAACAAAACATGTTACTAATTCATTAAAATGTTATTAGTAAAGGTGAACTAGAAGTTTAACTTATGAACAGAGATTTGCAAGTTAAACCTTCTCATTAAACAAGGAAACGAAGAATAATCTGCGCAATAAAGCCAAATCTCATGAATAAGAGAAAGAAGACCGCTGAAGGGTTCATCACTTATCTTTGTAGTTGTAAAACTTCAATGCTAACTTTTGTTTGTTAATGTCATTTATAATTTTTTTTTTTTCAAAATTTAAATTTCTTCAAATTTCCACAATTTTTGCAGTATATTTTTCCAGAATTAACATATTATCTCTCTTTGTTTTTTTTTTTTAGATGGAATTTCTTCACTTATGCGACACATTCAATGCTTATTCATTTTGACTCTACATTTTAATGTAACTGTAACGAATATGGGCGATTTTAAGGAATAATGAAATGTTGACTTGGCCTGAGAAATTCAAGTTTGCGATTGGACTAGCTAATGTTGAAGCCCAAGATGGTTTAACTGTTAAGGAGTGGATGATAAAGCAGGTACAGTGGTAATTTTGATTGCCAGTATTATGTGCATAGTGCATACAGGAGTAGGTAACACGTTTCGCTTGGTTAGCATACGACTCATTGCATGCCCCGTCATTGAAACTTTAGCTAAGAGAATATTTGGTATCTTAGATCTTACCTGATGTTTTGATCGTTAAAAGTTTTAGACACTTGACAATTCTGCTTGTTTGTGGATTAGTCTTTTAGGAACTTTAATTGTGGCATATGATACCTGTTAGACACTTAAAAATATTATCTTTGTTTGCTTGTGAAATTGCAAGATAATTAACGTTAGTTTGTAGCCATGGCCCTCATATTTCACTTTTTGAACAGCTGACCAAGTATGACATATATGTGTATGTATGCACAATGTGTCTGTGTGACTGTATCTACAAACTTAAGCATTGCTTTGTCTTTGACTAAAGAAGAATGTATCTTACCGACAAAGAGGTCCGAGGTGTTGTTAGTTGAGACTTGTACATTAGTGAAGTCACTCATGGGAGCAATGTTTTAAAAACCGATCCGGGCAGATAACCGGATCCCGGGTTAATAGATTGAACCGGTTCGACCGGCGGGTCAGACCGGACATCATTTTCTTGATCTCATTACCCAGTCAATGTTTTCTGTCTCCTTGTTCTTTATCTCATTAGCTCATGAATCTCTCATCTCTTATACGATTGAAAAGTGTCCACCAACAAACAACTTTTTATTTATTTTTCATTAAATGCAATACAGTACAATCTTCATCTTTTTTAAAGACATTTAATATTTGTTTTTTATTTTCAATGAAAGCTCATTAAATGCAATATAAGTACACCTTCTTTATTTATTAAATTAAATTATATATTTTCAATCTCTTCTATCAGGAACGAAGAAGAGTAGAGAGAGAAAGCTTTAACTTCTTTCTCCAACTCTCTTTGTTGTTCTTTACTCTTTCATTTCTTCTGTTTTAATTATTAAAGCTCTTCCGATTCTTCAGCTTTCCTCTAATCAAAAGGTGCATGCCTTCTACACCAAAACACACAAAACACATTCACTCTTCCTTTTTGAGAAAATCCTCATTTTCTTCTCTCTTATTTGCTATGTGCCGCCACTGTTATCTGCACCTCCACCATTCTCCACCACCATCGCCACCGCAGCAACAACGGCCTAGGGTTTCAACTCCTCACTTGTTGTTTCTCCTCTTCTTCGAGTTGGATTCTCTCTTCTTCTAGTGGCTTCGTTGATTATTATTATTTTTTTGGGTTGATTAGCCTCATGTCTTTAATTGAAAATTGTAAAAGGGATCTGAATCTTGGAACTTAGGAATTTGAGTTGACAAAACAGGTTGGACCGGTGGGTCGCTACAGTAACACCAGTCCAACCGCGAGTCAAAACGGATTAATTCTCATTTCCGGTTTTCTACCCTAACCGGCCCGGCTAAGCCACCGATTCCCGGTCAAACCGGTTAAACTGGTCGGGCCGGGCCGGGTTTTAAAACCTTGCATGAGAGTTGATGCAAGCCTCAAATTTCAACCATCTGAAAGAAGCCGCACAAACTTCCAGAATGCTAGAAACGGACAGAAATTGGGATACTTTATTCTTGGAAGAGTATAAGTAAAGAATTTGAAGTTCCTCCAAAATTTTGTGGCTTTGTTAGCTGCTGAATTCTGTCTCTTTTTGGGCGTTTATATTGCACAGTTTACACAAGATTTTGAGTTATTGTGAAGATCTAACTCTCTTGCAGTGGACATCTAGTCCTCCTCTGTATCTTTGTTCTCTTTTTCAGTATACTGGTGTTGCAATAAAAAATAAAAATTAAATGGTACCTCCAAAATATAGTCTAAATTCATGGAATAATTTTCCCGTAGAAAACTTTATTGATTGTGTTTGCTTTTGAAAGTTGTTAAAACTTTATTTATATTGTTGGGTGCCCTACCTATTAAATCTAGACTTTTGGGATTTTTTGAGTCTACAACATGGTATAAGTATCTATTTGACCTGGATGTTTTACCTCGTACTGTAGATTAAAGCCATGAGGAATGTGTTTGAACACAAATATTGTTTTTTTTTTTAATCTTTGGGAATTAATTCACTAGTACTTTTTATAGCCAGTCTAACCTAGGTTTATATATAAATCAGCTTCTGAGTTGAGTTGGTTATTCTGTATCGTTCATGTTAAATTTATTGAATGCTAGTGCAAACTGCAAATTTAGCAGGTTAACATGTATATTAGGTCGAGTTGAGTTCTATATTCTCTATCTTCAAAGTTAAATTTTCATGCTTTGTGCTCATTTGGCATAAACTTTGCAAATATTTCAAGCTGAATGATTGACTAATTGTTTTGTCTTTTAAATTTTAGGGAGTACCTGAGCGCGTGACGACAGAGGTATTTACTGCCATGTTAGAGGCACTACATTTTATTAACCCTGATGAATTGTCAATGCAATGTGTATTGATTGCTTTAAATCGATTTCTTCAAGTACAGTAATCCTCTTTTTTTTTTTCATAATTTTTTTTAATCTCTTGATTGTCCTCTAGAAACTTTATATTGACATCAATATCAAAATAATTTAAATGATCTTTGGTGAAGTCTGGCTGGCGATCTAATGTTGGATTAGTGTATAGATGTAAAACTAAACATATCAAGTAACATATCACTTCTATTTTGTTTACCATGACCAAATTTACTCCCAAACATTTTTTGCTGCTCTCTTTGTGTTTGAAAGGTTTTGGGGTATGGTCGCATTTTGCGAAAATGATTTCTCATTTTCAAAGTATAGAACATGGAGACAATGTGTTGATTAAGAAATTTTAGAAAAATGTTTCATAAAATGCAAATCATTTTCTAACTTTTGTAAAGGAAATGACAAATCTTTCATAAACACATGCACAACAATGTACCTCATTTGCTACGTTCAACTTCTTTAAAGATCCATCTACATAATAATTACTTTCCATTTTACAAGACGGATATCAATTAGAATATAAATCAATATTTCCCTTTTTATTTAAAGAATGCTTTCATTCTCCTTTTGATTCTATTTTAGATTGACATAGGTTGAATGATCTATGGGTCTTTTATCAAATTAAGCGAATTACTTTTCTTTACTTTGTTTTACTATCTGATCAAGTCAAATCGGGACCTAATTTAGTTTTCTCATGATAACAACTAACATATTGTTGTGAATATTATGTGTGTTTTGGTCATATCTGTGTATATGAAAATAGGTATAATCTGAATAAGCATTGTTGTTGATATACTATTGGATATACGTTTCCAATTATTTATACTTAATATACATAAACGAACTTCTGTAGAGAATGGCTGATTCAGAATATATTTTTGTAGACCTTGTGTATGGGTGGTCTAACAAAATGAGGCCTGGAAATTTCATAAATGGAAAAGAGCTACTTCAGCGTATGTGAAAATCATTTAATCTTTAAGATTATCTGAAAATGCAAGTACTGAGGTAACATGGGAATATCATATTACTAACACTTGTCCTATATCATCGCTATCAATTTTTTTGTTCAAATGTCTTTGTCCGTGAATTCCTTTAAATGGAAAGGTAAGTTGATAGAATGTAAAAATTTATTTCAATCATTAAAATGCTTTGAAAATGCAATTATTTAGGTAAATTGGGAAATTCATATGAATTGCTCTTTTTATATTATCAATTCATCACTACTTTTCTTCATTTATTTACTTTCAATTTCATTGTCATTTGCTGCTAATTAACTCCTTCACAAATGAATACTCATTCCTTCTTTGAACAGTCAATTGGATTCTTATCGTATATAATTAGCTATCTTTGGGAATTGTTGACAACTTCATTTCTACAAGCTAAATCATGAGTGCAGTGATTAACTGATACAGATTATTTTCATCTGCAGGTTCGACAGGAAACTGAAAAACACGTATGATCATCTACTCTTCAGCAGGTCCTGCTCTTAGTTAATGCTTAATCCTCAGTTCTGTTTAGAGAGATGGTGCTGTTTGTGCAATAGTTCATTAGTGATTCAATGCAGATTGGTTTACAAAGCTAATAGTAATTGGACTATCTTAATGCCTTTTAGGTTGCCCATGGCTGAAGAAGATTTTGTCTTTAGCTTCTGCTTGATGTTATCTTACAGTATCTAGTAATATTGCTTTTTGATTGTGTATTGAGTTTCATCTATGTGTCTCCTTCTTTTACGGAAGTCCTCTCTTGAGTGTGTTGACATGTCTGTAACATGTAAGATAAAGTTCTAATTTATAGACTACCTGTTGGCTATTTTTCTCTCCTTGTTGAATGCATATATACTGAACCACCGGATTTGTTTGTTTGCCCGTACCTTTAAATTCATTATTTCTACCCTACACCCTACCGTTGATTAGTGGGAAATAACATAAACTTTTGGATTCTGACCTGGTAATGGTCAGCTTTTGCTTAACATATTGCAGGCATGGGTAGCTGTGATGGTGAGGCACCACATGAAGGAACTACTTTGTTATATTTAAATATTTAGGAAAAAATTGATGTTGATAGTTAATTGTATGCTCTTCTCTGTTTAAATATGTTGGACAATATATAAGTCGATGTCTATCTTTTTACCCCTTTTTCTTATTCAAAGTACAAACCAACTGCATTAACCTCATCTTTCTTTGATTTTGCATGAACTGGTTAATTCATGATTCCTTGTTTTATGTAGGAATATTACAACCCTAACCAGTCCATGCTAGAGTTAGTTTTTGCCCCTGCTGAAGAATGGATCTCACGCAGCGACTCATAAATAATTGATGCGACAATGAAGGAGCTTGCTAAACTCTTTCCTGACGAAAATTTTGCTGATCAAAGCAAAGCAAAAATTGTGAAGTACCGTGTTGTAAAAACACCAACGTTAGATGGCCAACCTTTTAAACCTTTCTGTAAATTTCAAAGGTTCCAATTCCTTGATTTATTTAACATAGTAAGTTTTCGTTGATGCAACAAATTATCTTCAATATCACTTGAATTTGTGACATCCGCATGGATTGGGAAAGAGAACTTCTGATTGGGTGATTGTGACATCCCACATTACTTGTGAAGTATTTGATGTTAAGAAGGGATGAAGTTTCTTACATATTTAAAACAGACGTTGGGTTATAAAAGCCCAAAAACAAACTGCACGGTTCTCTTAGTGTGAAATAACTTTTGAGATTAAAAGTAGACTGTCTTGTAAATTGTGAGTATGATAGATGGCATTAAGGCCAATCCTGATCAAAGTGTCGGTGGTGTGAACAAGTTTCTAGCAGGGTATTACAAGCAAGGATGCTTGGATTGCAAGAGGGCTTGATTGTGACATCATAAATCAGCCAGGAAGAGAAGTTCTTGATTTTTAAGGAAGTTGCTTGCATATGCTAGACAGGTTTGGGGTAATAAAATCCAAAAACTAAGCCTTGTGGATCTTGACTGCAGAATGATGTTGGGATTCAAAGTAAACATTATCGAACATAGTTTGGCTCATAGTAGATGGTAGACCTTGCATTCCTAACTGGCGATAACTGAATTGTTTGAAGGGCCATATAAGAGAAACTCCCACTAGATTGCTGCATTTCTCTGTGGATTAAACAAACTGAAAGGGCTTATAGTGAGAAGGGCCAGGCACTCAATTATGTTCTGCCACTCCAACAGTCAAACCCCTAGGTCCGGTCCGCTTTCTTCACCTGTGTCTATCCCGTTTCTTGCTCACACTCATCGTATAAGTAAAAAGAGAAAGAGATTGCCAAGAGGTGTATACCAAATATTATACCTAACACCTTCCGAAAATCAATTGAATTCAAAAAATCCCAGGATTAATTAAACCCAGTTGGATGTGTAGGTGCTGTGCAAAAGAAACTTTTGAGGGTCTTGCTAGCAAAGACACTCTTTGGTACCTGGTAGGGTGGTTGTACATCCCTCAGTGCCTGGGAATGAGGAGTTCTTGATGTTTATAAGGGGTGAAATTGATTACATTTGTAAGACATTTAAGACAGTTAAGATAAAAAGTGGACGATCTCTTGCATATTGTTTATGCCATGACAGAAGCGGTTAATGGTCATCTAGTGCTGGACAACAGATAGTTGTCTAATTTGATTTTTTAATTTAATTAAAAATTTGTCAATCCTGCCTAGTACTTCTCACTACTATATATTGTTTAACCTTTAGCAAATGCTTCTGCATGTAGTGTCATAAAGATTGTCAATAACTACATCGACGATTTCCATTCTTGTACTTCATTTGATTTGTCCATTTCAAAGCCTAACTTATTATTTCAGGTCTGTGTACAAGACTGTCCCAAATTGTGAAACTTGTCCCCGCAAAGATCTCCAATAGAGGGATTCTATTTAGCTAGGGATTACACAAAACAGGAGTATCTGGCTTCGATGGAAGGTGTAGTGTTGTCAGGAAAGCTTTGTGCTCAAGCTATCATACAGGTACATTTTGTCTGGTCAAAATGTTTATATCTACTTTCATTACCACAATTTCTTCCTTAAAAATGGCCTTAGTAGAAGTTCTTTTTGTGAGAAAGCTCAAACTAAGCAAACCTGTTTTAGCGTTGAGGGGGGAGCGCACAAGGTTTTGATTGTTAGTGTAAGGTTAAATGAATATAGTTGATAGGAATATGAAAGATTTGAAAAGTAGATATAGTTGATAGGAATATGAAAGATTTGAAAAGTAGATAAGTAAAATGAAGCAAAAGTAGAGTTCTATGTCTAGTTTGGTTATGTGGTTAGCCCTAATTTATAGAAATATGCAGGATTATGAGCTGCTTGTTGCACGACCAAAAGGAAGATTGGCTGAGGCAAGCATTCGCTAAATGCCCTTTAATTGGAGGCAAAATCGTTGATAGATTGAGTGACGATTGTATATCAATTGTAATTAGCATGTAATGATAGAGATATCTTTTTTTGAACTTATAAAAAGGAAAAACATAGGAAGAACTTGTCAGTTATTTAATAGTGAATCTATTTCTCCAAATGAAGCATTCCATGTTTTCTTTTTTGATTTTAAATAATGATCACTTGGAGTATAATATCATTGTCTTGAGAGAAGAGAGTTGATATTCAGTCGCTTCTACTTTCATTAGGAATAATACAATGGAATTGATACTCAATTGGTATAAAGGTGATGGTCTGATGACGCTAAGCGAATAAGCTTAGAGGCGCAGGCGTGGGCAAGTTAGAGCTTAGCCACAATAAAATTGTTGAAGTTTCTAATCTTCTTCCCCCAATCTTTTTAACTGTTATTTTTTCAATAAAGATTGATTTGTAACTTATTTTTAACATTGTGTAATCCTGCTCATTTTGTCCCAAAAGAAAAAAAAAAAAAAAAAAATTATAAAAGATGTATATACAATCAACAATTTATAAAATATTATGTTTGTATATGTAATTTACATTGATGCACCAATCTCATGATTAGTTGATTGTAGTATGCATTAATTATATGAAACCTTGTTAAATTATAAATTGTTGGTAACTTTAGTATTAAACATATACACCAAATTAGGACTTAGTATATTAATAAAGCCTTCTTCCATATGAGTGATGTTATTGAGCTTTGCCAATGGGTCAAGCTATTATAACAAATGTTTTTGACATAAATTTGTAAAATAAGTCCATGGTTATTAATTCGTAGTAATCCAATAGCTTCAAAATTTATTTAGTTAACATTAAAATAGTTAGTTCTATCTTTTCAGTCAAGTTCATTTGATAATTTGTATTACAATAAGATAACTCTTATCTGATTCAATTAATTTAGAAAATAAATTTTATATTACAATTTTATCATCAAATGTAGGACAGAGAAAACAAATCTATTTTACCTAAAGGCTAAAACTCTAATTTTTATTCTAAACCTTAATCTATTATTCCTTTATTTATTTATTTTATCAAAATTTATTTGAATTAACGTGAAAGAATTATTATAAGTACAAACTTGGGAAGTGTAGACAGTAAGTTGACAAACACCAAACTTACTTAACTTACTTCAATCTTGAACCTTCCACTACTTTCTCCGACTCTCAAATCAGTTTAGTCGGAGAAAATTTATTTGAATTAAGGCGAAAGAATAATTAAAAGTACAAACTTGGGAAGTGTAGACAGGAAGTTGACAAACACCAAACTTACTTAACATACTTCATGTTCTTGACTATCGGATTCGATGATCAACTCCGAACAACGCCGGAAACTGATTTGAGAGTCGGAGAAAGTAGTGGAATGTTCAAGATTGGTGTTTTTGCTGACTTGCACTTTGGAGAAAATGCATGGACCGATTGGGGACCTCGCCAGGATGTCCGCTCTTTGAGAGTCATCTCTACTGTGCTTGAAGGAATCCTTATAGATAGTCAACCCTAAAAATTCACGAATTCTGCCCCCTCCAAATCCAATAAACCGTAGTGCCTAAACAAAGCCTAGCCAAATTGAATTTTAGACTCTTACCTTTCCATTTCCTTGTCAAATGGGGGATGTAATCATGCTAGGGTCTAACCACATAGCCAAGGTCAGCAAGCATAAGGATCTTGCTCCAAATAGACATAGAAAAAGGGCATGCAAAAAATAAGTGGTCAAGAGATTCTATAGATGAGTTACAAAGGCAACAATGAGCGTTAGTAGTAGCCCCATACCTCATCAACATTTCATTTGTAGGTAATCTTTCCTTTATAGCCATCCATAAGATCATAGAGTATCTTGGGATAGCCTTTGAGAACCACACCAAGTCACATCACTCCTCCCAAGCCGATTTGGTAGAGAAATCCCCCGAAGGTGAGGGTATCCAACAAATCTTGTCGTCAACATTAGAACGTGTGAAATTCAAAGAATTCCTCATGTTAATAAGAGCCCATGAATTCAAATAATCATTTCCCCATAGATGCAAACAAGGGGGCCGTTCGGATGCCAGTTATCAAACCAAAGAGAAGTGGTGTTACCATTGCCAATGTTACATTTGATATTCTTTCTAGCCATTTCCCCATTTTTGAGGATATGTCTCCATGACTATGTACAATTTCGGGGAACGCTTATGTCCCAAATGCTTCTATTTCTTAAAAGATGAATTCGGACCTAAGAGGCCCACAAAGTAGGGTTTCTATGATTGCAGAGATTCCAAATATGTCTTAAAGAAGCCGCAAGGTTCCATTCCTTACATTTCATAAACCCAAGCCCGCCCTCATTTTTGGGTACACATACCTCCTCCCAAGCTATTCTAGCTTTGTGTCTATTCATATCAACTCCGGACCAAAGAAAATCTCTTAAACTAGCATCAATTTCCTTCTGAATTTTGGAAGGAAGAATAAAGAGAGACGACCAATAAATTTGGATACCCCAAAGAATGGACTTAATCAAAATTATCCTCCCCGCATAGGATAAAAACCTACTTCTCCAAGAGGCAACCCGAGCCAAGATGTTATCCAAGAGAGGTTGACAATCCCCAAAGGTTAGCTTAGAGGTAATAAGGGGCACACCTAAGTATTTGATGGGAAGAGTAGCCTCGGCAAAACTTGCCAAATTTAAGAGCTCCATCTTTTCATTGTCACTCACACTAGAAAGGAAGATATTGCTCTTATCTGGATTTGCACTCAATCCTGACAGACTTTCAAAGGTAATTAAAGCATTCTTAAGGAGAGACAGAGAAGTACCTTCGGCTTTACAAAAAAGCATGAGATCGTCCACGAAACAAAGATGAGTTAGCCCCATTTTCTTGCATCTCCAATGAAAACTAAAGTTCGGATTAACTGCCACTCTATTCAATAGCCGAGAGAGAACCTCCATAGTAATAACAAATAGGTAAGGGGACAAGGGATCCCCTTGTCTTAGCCCTCTAGAGATCCCAAAGAAACCCACCAGCTCCCCATTGATAACCATAGAGAACCTAGGAGTGGTGATGCATTTGGATATCCAATTGACAAGTACACTCGTGGATCCAAAATTCTATAGGACTTGTAAGAGAAACTCCCAATTAACCGAGTCATAAGCCTCCATTAACTCAACTTTCAAGGCACACCTTTTCTCCTTGGCCAAAGCTCGATTGTAGTTGTGCATCTGCTCTTGGCATAATAGGATATTATCTCTTATTCTCCTATCACCAACAAATGCTGCTTGTGCCGGGTCAATGAAGAGAGGTAAAGCACTCTTAATTCTA